TGGAACTAATCTAGCCAATCACAGTGCAGATGGTATAAACACTCTTATCATGCATCTTTATGAACAGAAATGAAAAGCCACAAATTAATCAAATCAACTAACTAGATATAAATTTAACAAATGCATAGACTGTGTATATAATACCACGTTTCATTGTACCGTTTAATTACCTCCAACTCTTTCTGCAGTACTGACAGTCCTTGTTGTCCACGTCTTCCAAGCCATTGTTTTTGCCATATTCTCTTTTGTCGTGGTTTCTTCTTTCTTTCGGATAAAATAACTGCACAGACCAATTGAAGGGCCAGTTGATCGTCCATGCTTGAAGATATGGCCTATAATCGCTGTAATTTAGCTATAACAAGACGGCGACAGATGAGAAGAAATCTTGTTGCGTAGTGTGAGCAACACAGTGATTCGGCTAGTCTTTCAATCATGTAGTGTGAGCTTGCCATTAGAGGGAACATTGTACATAGTATGCAGTATGCAGTAATTCATTCTGACCGTAACCTGTGTTTGTCTGTCGTGCAGCTGCGCCGGGTGGAGATGAGGTAGCGCTGTACGTGGGTATCGTCATGGCGGTGGTCATGTGTCTGATTGTCTCTTCTATCGTGGCACTACTTGTGTACCGCAAAACTCATCGCCGCTTTCACTCTGACATCATCGACTCGTCTGTGCTGAACGGAGGATTCCAGCCTGTCAGCATCAAACAAGCACGCTCAGGTGAGATGCTCAACCTTCATTAGTGGATCACTGTTGAGCTCTGATTGGTTAGAAATATAAAGTTTAAATTTATCAAAAGTGACAGTAAAGACATTTATAATGTTACAGAGCATTCTATTTCTAACAAACACTGTTCTTTGAACTTTCTATTCATCAAAGAATCCTGAAAAAAAAACAGTTTCCACAAAAATATGAAGCAGCACAACTGTTTTCAATAAGAAATGTTTCTTGAGCAGCAATCAGCAGCATATTAGAATGTTTTCTGAAGGATCATGTGACACTGAAAACTGGAGTAATGATGTTGAAAATTCAGCTTTGCATCACAGGAATAAATTATATTTTAAATTATATTCAAATAGAAAACAGTTCTCTTTCATCATCTCGTGTTCGAGATCCAACTATGGGACGGGCATCCGTGCCTGACCTCTGCAGAAGCATCCAATTGCACCAAGTCTGGCTTGACAGACAGGAGCGTGTGCCCAATGGCAGGTAAGAGACCGCCCCTTCACCGCACGCATAAAGTCCCAGCAGATTTTTCTCAGTTTTTTGCCAGCATGTCGCTCTCGAAATCGGCTGCTTATTCTGGGGATAGTTTATCACGGCCACGTGTGGCGCGCTTATCGCCTCTAATGATCTTCACACGTTCTGCATGGTCTGCCTGGGCCTCAAACACGCAGAAGAGGTCTTGGAGAGCCCCGAAAATTGCAGTCATTGCCTTAGGTTGCCTAAAAAGCTCCTGCGGCGCCATCTTAAAGTTGCCGCAACCCAGTGTGTCGAGCTCGGCCTTTCCGATTCAGATGGGGGACACGGCGATGACGACGCGCTACCGGGGGGCTCCCAGGGCGCAACGTCTCTCGACTAGGCCAACCAGCCCAATCCGGCATTCCCCGAAGAGGATATCTTCGCGGGCAACCCCCCGTTCGCAGATGAACCGGCCGGTTCCGGTGATGATGATGACGCGGGCCTTCTCGGGGTCTCAGAGGACGAGGAGGCCATCCCGCCTTCTGACGTGGACGTCTGTGAACAAGCGGCCGCTCGCCTCAAAATTGAGTGGCCGGCTCCACAGAGCGCCACTGACCAGGAGAGGGATATTTATGACGGGAAGCTGCTGGGACCCCCTCCCGGCCCGAGGAAACAACTCTTCCCCATCCTCCCAGCATGTGCGAAGCACATGAGGCATTACTGGAGCGATCCACTTAACCTCAAACACGGTCTTGCGGGCCTCGAGGTTAAGGATATGGTGGTGCTAGGCTTGGGTGATCCCCTCGATCGCCAGGCATCTTAGCACTGTCCAGGGCGGGCTGCTCCCCCCTCCAAAGCCGGTATTGACGAACAAAATTGATCGTTTTTCTGCCTCAGTTCACCAGGCCGCATATAAATCCTCAGCCTTGTCTGTCAGGGCGCTCAACATTTCCTCTCTACTCTCCGCGTACCAGGCAGAGCTTTTGGATGATTTAGGTCAACAGCCTGCTGACACAGGGATCGCCTTCGCCTACTCTGTGGAAAGAGATCCTCACGGTTAATGACCTCGTCCTCCGGAATGCTTGGAATGCCTTAACAGGATGGGGAGCCACTCAAGAGGGCAGAATAGTGAACGGTGTGTGACCGAGCACACTCCACTCAGCCCACATCAATTATTTGGAGCTCCTTACTGTTTGGAAGGCTCTGAAACATTTTCTGCCCCGCATGCAGGGGCATCACATGCTGGTGCATTGCGACAACACCACAGCCGTGGCACATATCAACCGTCAAGGGGGGTTGCGCTCCTCCAAGCTTCATGCTCTAGCTCACAAGCTGTTAGTATGGAGCAGGCAGCACTTTCTGTCGTTACGGGCGACCCATGTCCCGGGCGTTCTGAACAGGGGTGCAGACCTTTTTGTCGAGGGGGAGCCCATTCTACGGAGAATGCCGCCTCCACCCTCAGATAGTGGATCTGCTATGGAAGAGGTTCGGTCGGGCAGCCGTCGAGCTCTTTGCCTCGTGCGAAAACGCCCATTGTCCTATGTTCTTCTCACTACGGGACGAGGACTGGCCCTCCCATGGCCCAATGTGCTGCTCTATGCTTTTTCTCTGCTTGATATCTCCTACTCTGGTCAGGGTGAAAGAACAGAGCCTGACTCTGATTAACAGGATGGGGAGCCACTCAAGAGGGCAGAATAGTGAACGGTGTGTGACCGAGCACACTCCACTCAGCCCACATCAATTATTTGGAGCTCCTTACTGTTTGGAAGGCTCTGAAACATTTTCTGCCCCGCATGCAGGGGCATCACATGCTGGTGCATTGCGACAACACCACAGCCGTGGCACATATCAACCGTCAAGGGGGGTTGCGCTCCTCCAAGCTTCATGCTCTAGCTCACAAGCTGTTAGTATGGAGCAGGCAGCACTTTCTGTCGTTACGGGCGACCCATGTCCCCGAGCCTGACTCTGATTTTGATAACACCCAGGTGGCCCATATCTTCATGGCTGGCAGAGATAGTTCCTCTTCTGTATGCATAGCCATTGCCCCTCCCATTACGCACGGTCCTCCTGTCTCAAGCGAACGGGGAAATATACCATCCGCACCCAGACAGGGTAGCTCTCTTGGCTTGGCCCATGAGAGGGCAAATTTAAACTCATTGGGGCTCCCCCCTCGTGTTGTTGCTACCATGCAGAATGCTAGAGCCTCCTCTACATGCTCCCTTTATGATTGCAAGTGGCGTGTGTTTGAGGAGTGGTGCGAGGGGCGTCAGCTCATATCATATCAGTGCTCAGTCGTTGACATTTTGTTTTTTTTTGCAAGACCTTATCGATGGTGGTAAATCTTTCTCCACTATTAAAGTTTCTTCACTATTAAGGCTATCACTGCATGTCATGTTGGGTTTGATGGCACTATGGTGGGGCAACACCCCCTTATTCGTAGATTAATGAAGAGCGCCTGCCGGTTTCTTCCAGTCACTAGAAGAGCAGCTCCAGGTGCTGGAGGCTTTGTCTCAACAGCCGTTTGAGCCCCTGGGAAATATTCCCCTGAAGCTTCTGTCTTTCAAGACAGCTCTGCTCCGGGCCTTGGCATCAGCCAAACATGTCGAGATGATGAAAGAGAACAATAGGTTACTGTTCGTAACCCCGGTTCTCTGAAACATTGAGTGGAGAGATCCACCAAGTTTACCCCACTTGCTGCACAAGAAGCGAATATGCTCATTGAGGCAAGGTAGCGGGTGCTGGGACTTTATGCGCTTGGTCAAGGAGCGGTCCCTTACCTGCCATTGGGCACGGGCTCATGTCTGTCAAGCCAGACTTGGTGCAATTGGATGCTTCTGCAGAGGTCAGGCACGGATGCCCTTCCCACAGGTGGATCTCTCCACTCGATGTTTCAGAGAACCAGGGTTACTAACAGTAACCTATTGTTATTTTAAATTGTAATAAAATTGTATAATATTACTGTTTTTACTGTACTTTTGATCAAATAAATGTAGCCTTGGTGAGCAGAAGAAATGTATGTGTGTACTGTACATAGATAAACCATACATGTTTATTATATAGAATTTGGAACTTAGATTTCTGAATTATTGGCAGACTTAATTTCTTCTGCAAAATGCAGTATATTACAATGAGTGTCAATTGAGTTAATTTTCATTTGGACCTCAACGTTATTAAAAATATCTTCTTTTGTGTTTTGCAGAGGGAAAAAAGTCATACAAGTTTGTAATGAAATGAAGGTGACAAAGTGATGACAAAATATTAATTTTGTGTGAAATTTCCCTTTAATAACAAATGTAACCAATTTTGAACATCTGTGTCTTTTTGTCATATTGCTGTTTTTACCAGATTGAAAGAGATTTTAGGCATTGTAATCATGCAAGTCACTATAACGCACATCCTGGAGTGGATTATTGCTTTGGTAAAACATTCAAACGCGCTATTCAGACACAATCTCTCTTACTGCGGCTCTCAGTCAATGCAACAGTTTCAGAGAGGAGCTGTGGGAGTGTGTGTGTGTGTGTGTCACCGTAAGACACAAGAATGATTAAAATTCCAATCAAGTGGTGAACTGAGTGGAAGGCAGTGTTCCGGTGTTAAATTGTGAGGTGTGTGTGAGAGAGATTCAGGTGACATTTCATCTGAGGATCATTAGAAAGCCTGTCACTCTCCCACCTGAACAGGTTATCATTAATGAAGAATTGTCGTTCCGCTCGCTCTCGTATTGTCTCGCTTTTCCCCTCATTTTCCCGCTCGTTTTCTCTTTAATTAAACATGAAGCGGGCTGTAGGTGTAAATGGCACCCTGTCAGGGTGAAAGCACCGTGTGGAGACGCTGCGGAGGATGTCGGTGAATGAGTTGATAAATACAGGATGTTGTGATGGTAAAAGCGAGACATTCACATCCGTCAGTTTTGCTCTGGTGAAGATCTCTCCTGAGTTTGGACACGTTTACTTCGACAGGTGTGATGCAATGCAGTGCGGTTTACACTTTCTCAACGATCGCTGCGTGATGAATGACTTGTGTCAGGAGTGTGAGTGCTCATGGTGAGTAATGCTCACACCTGAGTAACCGGAGAGAGAAAGAGAGCTGATGTGCGAAGTGACAATCCTCTGTTTAGTCACTGTGGGAAGCTGAATGTTAATGAGCAATCAGTATGGAGATTACCAGCCGCTGGCTGTAAGAGTCCTTTACAAGCTCTCTCACACACACACACAAACACGGTGATTTCATTTCAAAATAGCACACAACAGAAATACATACAAGGAATAGGTCAGCTAAAAAAGTCATTTACCCACCATCATGCCGTTCCAAACCCCTATGACTTTCTGGAGCACAAATCAAGCAGCTCTGTTACATGCAATGAAAGTGTTTATTAGCTTTGTTTACATCTAAATTATGCCAAATTATGCATATTGATCTCACGTGTTTAAAAATTGTCACTTGTATGGAAATTTAATACAAAATAGAAATTCAAATGGAAATTGTAGCCACTGTAGCTGGCTTTTTTTCTATAATGTAGCTAATGAATTATTTGTGGTTTAGAGTGTGTGATGAGATGCTCTGATGAAATTGGTTATTTCATACTTCAAATTATGGAAGCTTGTCTACACCACGGGATAAAAAAATATAAAAGGTAATCTCACAATTCTGACTTTTTTTATAAAGTCAGAATTGCAAGATATAAAGTGAGAATGGTGAGATATAAATGTGCAATTCTGAGAAGTAAAGTAGGAATTGTGAAACTCGCAATTGCAAGATAAAGTAAAATTGTGAGTTAAAAAGTTACAATTACCTTTTTATAATTTTTTATTCCGTGGCGGAAACAAAAAACATAATTGCAAGGATGTAAACTCAGAATTCATAAACAAAAACTCAGAATTGCAAAATATAAAAAAAAGTTTAAATTCTTATCCCATTGCAGAAACAAACTAAAAAAAAAAAAAAGTACGCTGATTTAAATATTTGAGAGCTTTAGCAAAGGGAGAACATTTTCAGTAAATAATGTCTTAATATGTGTTTTTGTTCCTCTCAGAAAGTTATCATGTGACTTTTAATATAGCACATACAGAGTTTATTGTGCTTTTATGCTGAGTTTTCGGGGGGGGGGGGGGTTTACCTTTATTGTATTCAACAACTCCAGACAATCAGATAACTGTCAAAAACTAATAAAAAATATGTATAAATATGTCAAATATGTTTATGTGAGGTTTTAAAGTCATTGTGGTTTTGCATAAACACTAGTTTGGGGTCAGTAAGATGACAAAAGATTTCTATTTCTTATAAACGCTGTTCTTTTGAAACTTCCTATTCATCAATGAATCCTGAAAAAAATGTATCACGGTTTCCACAAAAATATGAAGCAGCACAACTGTTTTCAGCATTGATAATAATAAAAAATGTTTCTTGAGCAGCAAATCAGCATATTAGAATGATTTCTGAAGGATCATGTGACACTGAAGAAGGAAGTAATGATGCTGAAAATTAAGCTTTACATCACTGGAATAAATTACACATTACAATATTTACAAATAAAAAACACTTATTTGAAATTTTAATAATATTTCACAATATTACTGTTTTTACTGTATTTTTAATCAAATAAATACAGCTTTGGTGAGCAGTAGAGACTTAAGAGAGAAAAATATTGAAAAATCTTACTGACCCCAAACCGTACTGTATGATATCATACGAAAAATACAATTAATTTATGAGAAAAGCCAGAGCTGGAAATGATATCAGAAGACAAACGAAATACTGAAATTCGATTTTAAAATTCAATTTAATAGATTTTTTAAATCTATTGATCTACAAGTGTTATTAGTGATATTTAATAGTAATTTCATGTGTGTGTTTGCAGCGGATTTGCTGGCCGCAACCCCTGATCTGTCCACAGCGGCGGTGCTGTATCGCGGTCCAGTATATGCCCTCCACGACATCTCAGACAAAATCCCCATGACCAGCTCCCCTCTGCTGGAGCCGCTGCCGCTTCCCAACCTCAAGATCAAAGTCTACAACTTCTCTGGCACAGTGACCCCTCAGGAGGACGTGACCTCTGACCTCTCTGCCACCCTGTCCCCCAAAGTCACACACTCTCTTCTGGAAAGCGACCCCATGACCCCACGCAACCAGACGCTGGCACGCGCACGGGACCCCACGTGTACGGCGTTAGGGTCGTTTAACACGCTGGGAGGTCATTTGATCATACCCAACTCAGGTAAGAACAGACACACACACACACACACACCATCCCCCCCTTATTTATGTATGATTTATGATGCACAATCACACTCTGGTCCTTGCCGAGTGTCCAACATATTTACGAATCGCCGTGTGATATAATTTATGATGATTAATTGATTGTGTTGATAGTCCTTCATTAGTCTAATTAAGGTGTATGGCTGTAACGGGTTCCAGTAAGATGTGATGGAAATGTCACATTCACAATCTCACATTCGTGTGATGAGGATGAACACCTTCAGTGACAGTGATAAATGAATCCAGAGGACGGCAGCTAGTAATCCACTTTATGAACTGAAGAATCGACTCATAACACTCCACTGACATTATATGAATCACCATCTAGCTATCTATCTATCTATCTATCTATCTATCTATCTGTCTGTCTGTCTGTCTGTCTATCGTTCTATTGCTCTATCTATCATACTGTTGTTCTGGCATTCTATTTATCATTCTATAATTTTATCTATCTATCTATCTATCTATCTATCGTTCTATCGTTCTATCTATAGTACTGTTGTTCTGGCATTCTATTCATCATTCTATCATTTTATCTATCCATCCATCTTCCATCCATCCATCCATCGTTCTATCTATCATTCTATCATTCTCCTTTTCTATATATTGTTCTGTCTGTCATTCTATATATTGTTGTCTTTTTCATTCTGGTATTCTATTTTTCATTCTTTCTATCATGAAAGTGCATTCATCTGAATTCTGAGTCTGAGTCCTAATTAGCCACTACTTGTAATGGCATCACTTTTTTCATGTTGTGCCGAGTGGCCCCGCCTTCAGTACAGTCTCATTGGTCCAAAATCCTGCTCCATATTGCGTATTAAACATTAAGTATGTTCTGGTTGGCTGTGATTTTGTTGCTTCACAACATTTTTGTTTTCAGTAAGGACAGACAAATCAAGTTGATGCTTGAAACTAGTCAGCACGAGGTGTGCGGTTTCTCTCTGAATCAGTCTCTCTGTAATGTGTTTCAGGTGTGAGTTTGTTGGTTCCAGCTGGTGCGATTCCTCAAGGTCGCGTCTATGAGATGTTTGTGACTGTACAAAGGACAGAGAGCATGAGGTAAAAAAAACCCCAAAAAAACACACACAACACACAGCCCAAACATAAGCAAGTCATTTTGTAGTTGAATGCTAAAACACATATGAAACACACATAAAAATATGAGTAATCAAGTACTTGAGGGAAAAAAGCAAGTTAAAAGTAATGAATATGATAGGGGGGGGGGAAGCTAACTTCAGCAACCTATCCAGCTCTGCATAAACAATATGCATGAATAAAAATGTCAATGAAACAATTTAAAAATTAATTTACATTCTGCTGGAGCAGCATAGAAAAGCAATTGTTTTTACCAATGTAAATTTAGGTACTATGTACTTTTAAAGTACTAATATGTACCATTTAGTTACTAATATGTACTTTAAAGTACTAATAGGTATGTTTAAGGTACTATTATGTACTTTAGGGGTAAATAAGATACAAAGATGTACTTAGCTTTTGTAATTCAAAGTACTGCCCCAGTGACAGCACCTTTTGTACCTTTTTTCTGAGAATGTTGAAATGTAGAGCACAGGATGTTTGTTCTTCATAAATATTTATAATAAAATTCATATCAAATGTTTTATTGTTCAACTTGATGTAATTGATTATTAACTTGAAAATTTCAAACAGTTCTGGTTCATTGTGTGTGTTACTGTAGCATCTGCAGTGATTTCAGAGAGAACAGAAGCTGAAAACGGAAAAGTAGGCAAAAATCTTAAAGGGATAGTTCACCCCAAAATGAAAATTTTGTCATCATTTATCATTTGCCCTCAAGTTGTTCCAGACTTGTATGAGTTTCTTTCTTGTGTGGAACACAAAAGAAGATATTTTGAAGAATGTTGGTAACCAAACAGTTGCTGGTTGCCATTGACTTGTAATTGATTATAATTAAAAATGGCGCCGCGGATGGCAGCCATGGTTTGTCGCTACTTGGTACTTGTACTTTTTTTGTTTGTTTGTCCTGTTTTAAGCAATTTTTTCCCGATCAGCTTTACTAGGAATATGCATGCATGTATGTATGTATGTATGTACCAGGAGCACCTTAAAAAAAAAAAAACACAACAAATTCCTCGTGTGTTTGCACACACCTGGCGAATAAAGCTAATTCTGATTCTGATTCTGATTCTGATTCTTATTCTGACTTCCATAGTAGGGGAAAAAATACAGTGGAAGTCAATGGCTGCCGTCAGCTGTTTGGTTACCAGCATTCTTCAAAATATCTTCTTTTGTGTCCAACACAAGAAAGAAACTCATACAAGTTTGGAACAACTTGAGGGTGAGTAGATGACAGAATTTAAATCGTTGAGTGAACTATACCTTTAAATGTGTCTGTCTCTATCAGGCCAGCGGTCAGTGACGGGGAGGCCGTGCTCAGCACTGTGGTCAGCTGCGGTCCCGCGGGCGCCCTGTTGACCCGTCCCGTCATCCTCACTCTCCACCACTGCGCACACGCCCACTCTGACGACTGGCAAATCATCCTCAAGAGCCACACGCAGCAGGACCAATGGGAGGTGAGGAATTTAAATACGGCCGATCGGGACAGCCTGTGGCTGAATGAAAGAATGGCAGCGAGAGGAATCAGGTCAGGGAAACTCTGGAGATGAGCCGCTCCATTTCAATAAACTACTTATCCTGCAGAGAGAGGGAAACATGACTGGAAAATAAATGTAACTATCAGTGAAGGCAGGCAGGGTAAATTGGCCTGCTGTGCATGGCAGGGTTCTACAAATAGACAACACAAAATTCAATTATTGCAAGAGTGGAGCGGGAAAAAGGATGGGGCGTATTTATCAGGACGAATCTGCTTCCTTTATCAGGGCCAGGATTCCCTCAGACACACACTCGCATTGTGTGTGTGTGTGTGTGTGTGTGTGTGCAGGAGAGACCAAATGTCCTGAAGAACCTGCTTGTGGGGGTTTTGTCTGTGAAGAATGTGGCGAAATCATTAGCTGTTATAGAAGTGGTAGGAGGTGGTGGAGGATTCATTTTGAGAATTGAAAGTTTTGAAGAGATTACGTGTGTCTGGAGCGCTGTTGATCTTGTTGTGGAAGTATGAAGATTTGGCAGTATGGACTTCGGCAGAGAAAGATGAAAGCAAAGACTGATACATACTCAGGTCTGACGGATCTTTTGATTTGCACCATTTTCTCTCTGCTGCCCTGAGTTTGGTCCGATGTTCTTTATATGCTTTATATGCTTTATATATCTCATAAAGCCTGTCAAAACCATGCCCGGGTCATATTTCACTCCAAAATCAAAAGAAGAAATAAGAAATTAGTTTTTTCAAGTTATTAGCACTTTTAAAAGTGTTTGCATTTTGATGATATTTTTTATGATAAGTAAGTACAACCCTCACACAAAAAATACTGTAACCAAAGAAATGTATCATATAATATTTGTATAATTTGATCAGTATTTTTTACATTCAATATCAATCACAATATCAATTTTACAATTACATCTTTGCAATATTGGTTGTACTGCCTTTTATTTATTTAGATAAAAAAAAAAACATTCAATTAAAAGGATTTTTACAGTAATTTTTTTGAGAATATTCATTAAGAATAATGTGAATGTTTTTTTTTTTTTATAAAATGATGTCATAAATGCTAGAATTGGTTTATTTAAAAATGTTTATATACATTTAAAAATGTATAATTAATTCATAAATATATAAAATAGATTATATTTAAATTGCAAATATATACATATTTCATTTATTTATTAATAAATGTTTTCTGTGTTTTTCCTAGGAAGCACTTTTTTCTGTATGGGCTAAGAAAACAATTAATGATCATTTATAATTTAATAAAATTATGTGATTTTAATAAAAATTATTTGTATTTTTTTTTGTATTATTAGATTTTTTATTATTTGATTTTATTATTATTTGTTTGTCAATTGTCTGTGTTATTCTTTGTATTTGTTACTTATATGTATATCACTGCAGTTTTAAAATCCTACAAAAATTTCCTTGGAAAAGGGCAAAGTAAAGTATAACTTAAAAATAATAAAATTAATAATGAAAAATGAATAATAATTTAAGTTCCACAAGATTGTAAATATATATTCAGGTTTGTATGTGTGTGAGATCACACTGTAACCTGTACCTGTCGTGATGAGATGCTCATGTAAATAATGTGTGTTTTGTGTGCAGGACGTGGTCGTGGTTGGAGAGGAGAACTTCACTACTTCCTGTTACGTTCAGCTGGGGGAGGAGGCGTGTCACATCCTGACCGAGACTCTCGGATCCTACTGTCTGATTGGCCAGAGCGCCTGTCCGTCAGCGGCTAAACGAATTAAGCTGGCCGTGTTTGGTCCTGTAGTCACAGCAGGTCTAGACTATCACATCAGAGTGTACTGCCTTGACGACACGCAGGACACGCTCAAAGTGCGTAACAGCTGACCAATGTGGCTTTCAAGCCCACTTAAAGTGTAACCCAAGGTTTCTTGCACCAAAAATAATGAATTTAGTTTTTCTTGATCCTTTTGCACCCTCTCTGACAGCGGTCTCTGCTGCTTATTTATTTTTTATTTTTTTACTTCTATATTGTTCTGTATGTAAATCAGCACTGTTATGATTGGCTAACTGTAATTTTGGTTAAGTAATGTCAGGGACTAGATCTAACTGAAGAATGACTCTTAATGAGTTTGCTTAATAAATTACATTTGAATGAAAATGTGTTTTTTAATATTAATATGTTTAAATTATTTTAATCTACATTAATATTTTAATTAAAATGATTAAATAATTTAATATACAATTTTATGATTACTATGGTTTTATATAATTTATTATTATTATTTTTATTGTTGTTATTATATAAATAAAATTTTTAATGTGATTATTTAAATATATTTTTTATAAACTTTGTTTTACTTTAATATTTGAATTTAATTGATTTAGTAATTTAATATAATAAAACAATTAAAATTATGTAATATTACTTAATTTGTATATAATTTCTTCTTATTATTATTATTATTAGATATTCTTAAATTCATTTATTTTAAAATGTTAATTTCAATGATTCAGTGATTTAATATATTGCAGTACAACATTTCATATAGTCATTTAAAATCACTTAATATCACAGAATTTTATTATTAGATATTCTTAATTTAATTTATTTTAATATTTTAATTTCAATGATTCAGTGATTTAATATATTGCAGTACAACATTTCATATAGTCATTTAAAATCACTTAATATCACAGAATTTTATTATTATTATTATTATTATTATTATTATTATTATCTAAGCTCTGTACTGTATGTAAATGAGTTCTGGGGAAAAACTTGTGAATGTTAAAGTTTGCACCAAACTCTTATTTTAAAAGATAATAAGAGCCATTTGAAATGACTATATGTGCAGTGAATATATGTTTTTTGTTGTATATGATTGTATCATAAATGGTGCAGCACAGTTGACTGTTATGTGTTTGTGTGGACAGGAGGTGCTGCAGATAGAAAAACAGATCGGTGGGAAACTGCTGGATGAACCAAAGTCTCTGATCTTCAGTTACAGCAAGCACAACTTGAGACTGTCAATACATGACATTCACTCGCAGTGGAAGAGCAAACTACTCACCAAATACCAGGTAAAGACAAAACTGAAATGATTTGAAGCATGTAAATGTTTTGAGTTATCGCGATATTCTTAACGTCAAGGCAAGCATTTTTTATTTATAGAGCGCATTTAAACACGTATATACTAAGGTGCTGCACATGGAAACAGCACAGTATGATTCAATAAGATACACCAAAGACAAAAAACTGAACACAGAAATCTGAAGAAAGGCCAGTGAATACAGATGAGTCTTCAGACAGAGAGGGAGAAGATCTCAGGTCCTGTGGCGGGTTAATACATAACCTTGGGTCAGCGATAGAAAAAGTCCATTTAAACTTTAACCGAGAGCGTGGTGTACAGTAGACAGAAACCATTTACAGCTTAAATCATGCATTGAACAACAATCAATTCTGTTTCCTTGTAAATAATTGTGGCAGCATTCATAGTGTATTATAATGTTCAATGTTAATGTTTTTTATTATTAATGTTATAAAATGTATCCAAACATAAATATTAATATTCGATAATTATATTTATTTGTTTTAATAGTTTAAGTGATTTAATAATTGTATATAACAATTTCATAATATAATATGACTTAATTTGTATGTAATTTTATTATTAATAAATATATGCAGAGTTGTATGTTAATATTTTAAATGATTTTAATAAGTTATGCAATTTAGTATAACATTTCAAATAAAGTGATTTAATATAACTAAATTGTATATATTTGGTATATTTTATAGTATTATTATTAATATTAATATTAATCAATATTAATAGTTTATATTTTTATTATTTCAATTCAATATATTTGATTTGAATTTAATATAATGTCAAATGCAATATAATATAATATGACTGACTTTGTATAATTTATTACATGTATACAGACTTGAATATTAATATTTGTCATTTTAAATTTATTTTAATATTTTAAGGGATTAAGTCATTTAATATAATATAAAAATAATATAAAGTATTTTAATATTGCTTATTTTTATATTATTTATTATTATTAAATATATACAACCTTCAATATTAATATTTGTTCATTTTAAAATGTTAATATTTTAATTTAAATGAGTAATTTAATATAACATTTAATTTAAGATTATTTAATATTACTTATTTTTTGTCATGTAGTAGTAGTAGTAGTACTTTTGTTTATTTGTTACAAATATACAGACTGCACTGTTAATATTTGAAATTATTTGTATTTATTTTAATATTTGTGATTAAGTAACGTAATATGTTATTCTTATTCTGAATTCTGAACAGACGTCAGGTAAAGTGTCTGTCTGTGTGTCCGTGCAGGAGCTGTCTTTCTCTCAGGTGTGGAGTGGATCGGTGCGTCGGCTGCATTGCTCCTTTGCTCTGGAGCGTCAGAGCGTGAGCGTGTGTGAGCTGTGCTGTAAGCTGTGCGTCAGACAGGTGGAGGGAGAAGGGCAGATCTTCCAGCTCTACACCACCCTGAGCGAGGTACAGTAACACGTCCTCTGCTGTCCCGCTCGGACGTCTTTAGGTCCTTGATGTTATCACAAACTCATCTGTTATGCTGTTATGCCTCGATTCCTCTTGCAGGTAATGAATTCCATCTCCCAATTTATTTCCGTCACTCTTTTATATTATTTCCAAGCTTGTTGCAATGCAGTCTGGAATAGGGTGACCAGACGTCCCCGTACAGCAGGTTCAAAACTAATACATTGCAAAAAAATCCATCCATACAGTAACCCGCTGGTTATCAGAGCAATCGTGTAGTGATTATTTTCAAAAAACAGAGGGCGCCGCGAGCTACGCTGATGACTTGGTCGCACACACTACTTTAGCTATGAAGAATATAACTTGGATGAGAGCAGAGCGCTATTATAATCGATTATCAAAAAAATGTTATGCTTTCAAGCCAGTTACATACTAACTATTCATGTTAAAGGGGTCATATGACATTGCTAAAAAAACATTATTTTGTGTATTTGGTGTAATGCAATGTGTTTACGCGGTTTAAGGTTCAAAAAACACATTATTTTCCACATACTGTATATTATTGTTGCTCTTCTATGCCCCGCCTTTCTGAAACGCGTCGATTTTTACAAAGCTCATCGGTCTGAAAAGCGAGGTGTGCTCTGATTGGCCAGCGCAACAATACTACAGCGAGAATAAAAGTTACGCCTTCTTTCTTTGCATATACATTTGTGCGGTGTTATGCAAATCTTCCCACACAGTGACGTAGACATGTGGGGGCGTGTTTAAACGAGGAGTTTTAGGAGGGCGTGGCTGAGCGCTCACTTTTATAAAGAATATCTCTTTGGGTTTGAGACTTTAATCCTTGTGACTTTGCGGATCTTCTGTATGCACGAACAGCTTTTAACACACCAAAGACAAAGGAAAACATGAAATCACATCATATGACTGTAAATTTAAATTTAAATTAAATTAAAAGTAATAATGTTTTAACAACTGAGCTTGAATTGGGTGTGGATTGTTTTGTCGACAATTTTAAACATCCCCAAAATAAGATGAAAACCAGGGACATTATCTAGTTCAGTGGTCAAAGTATCATTGAAATCGCATTTGTGATTGTCTATGAATTAAAAACTGGGGGCAATATGTTTTTGTATGTCTTTGTTTTTTAAATGTTGTTGGTTCCATATACTTATATTATAATTATTAATTATAATGTTGTTTGAGGATGAAACTGACCCTATTTTTAAAAATATTTTTAAAATTCACCAAACATCACACACTATGAGAAACAGCAAAGAGTAACTATTGCAAATAGCTACAGATCAAAATTATGACTTTACAAAAACAAAATAAATATGAGAACCTATGATAAATAAAACTGTACTTAGCAAATATTTGTACTTTTTTTTTTACAGTATTTAACATTTTCATTTTCACAAACCGAGTATAGGCTACACTAAATACAACTTTTCAAATGTTGTATTATGTTTATACTTTTGGAAATGTATCTTTACTATAATTCCTAATTATGCTTATTTTTCATTTTAGGCTCATTTTGAAAATAAAACTGCAACATAATTATTTTGCATTTTTATGAGCCTAAAATGCAAAATAGTCAACCTAATTAAGCCTAATTAAAGAAAGTAAGAGTAATTTCCAAGCACAAAAAAAGAAGAAGAAGAAAGAAAAAAAAAAGGAAAAGTTACAAAAGTTGTAATGGCTGTATACAGCATAATCAGTGAATATATTAAATGCAATTACAAACAGGAATTGTTACAAATATCTGTCAAATAGAGTTTTATTTTTAGAAAATATTTTGTTATAATATAACTGCTTGCTATTTACCATGATTACTATTAACTATTTTCATAGTGTATGGTGAATGCTTCAGCAGAAATATACAGAAATTGAAGTTATCAAACACTGAATTATAGATTAAATATAGATGAATCCTTAAAGCTATAAAAAATAATTTTTTCCTCTTTTTTTTTCTTTGTCCTTTGATTAATAGACATCACAGCAGCTGGTTGTTAGGTTATTTTGGCTGTTATGTTTTAAGAGCTACCTCTACTGAACGTGACATGGATCTGACACGCATCATATTTTCTCTCAACTCTTTTTACCTTTTCTGACCCACTTCAGGTCTTAAAGTCTCTATTAATGAGCTGACGAGTTAAATCGCGTGTGTTAGATAAGTGAGACCGTGCTGGGCTGCCCCAGGACAGTTTTGAAAACCATTTCAAAGACATGTTCTTAAATGGACTTCATATAAAATACATTACATGCATGCACAGTTTTAAGGCAGCTTTAATCGCCTTTTTGGTAACTTCATGACTTAACTGACCACGGCATTGCATGCACGTAGTTTATTTCACGTTTTGATATGAAAGGATACAAGCTACAGCCCGCGCCGGCGCCTTTGTGTGTGCAATTGAAGAGCACGCTCTGCGAGCGTTTGACTCGCGCCTGGCGCTGAAGTGAAGTGGAGCACGCGTCTGAAATGTCTCCCATTCTCAGTTGTTCTGCGACTGAATAAATGCACTTCTTGTCATGAGAAAAATTGACAGAAGCAGCAGTTGTGAGTGGGGTGGCCAACCCTAGCCCCGCCCCTGCGTTAATTGCATTAAATATTTTTAACGTGTTAAACTGAAAAAATTAATCGCCTGTGTTAACGCGCTAATTTTGACACCACTAATATATATATATATATATATATATATATTGTCTTTTAAAGTTATTTTAGCATTTTTTGCAGTGTTATTTTAGTATTATTTTTACTCAATTGTAGTATTTATTAATATTTTGACATTTTTATTATATATTTTAAGTTTTCATATTAATTTTAGGTTAAGTTTTAGTAATATTGTTTTATATTTCTATTTAGCTTTCATTTATTTTTTATTTCAGTTTTAGTTTTAATAATTAAATAACTTATTAAAAATAACATTTTTAATTTTCATAGTATTTACACTTTATTTTATTTTAGCTTTATTTCAATTAATGCAAATTATTTTTAATTTTTCATTATTATCACTTTTTGTTAACATTAACAACACTGATTCTGGGTGGTTGCTAAGGTGTTGAGGGTGGTTGCTATGGGTGGTTGCTAGGGTGTTATGTGTGGTTGCTAAGGTGTTGAGGTAGGTTGCTAGGGTGTTTTTAAGTTTACGTTTTAATTTTGAGTCAACATTACTAAAACTGGTAATGTTGTTTTGTGCTTTTCCTTAAAAGTCTTCTGCTCACCAAGACTGCATTTATTGGTTCAAAAATTGTACAATTTCAAATAGCTGTTTTCCATTGTAATATTTTTCAAAATGTAAATGATTTTTGTGATTCAAAGCTGAATTTTCAGCATCATTACTCCAGTCTTCAGTGTCACAAGATCCTTCAGAAATCATTCTAATAATATGCTGATTTGCAGCTCAAGAAACATTTCTCATTATTATCATTGTTGAAACCAGTTAATATTTTTGCGAAAACCATGATACACTTTTTTTTGTTCAGGATTCTTTAACTGTATTTATTTGTAATATAATCTTTTGTAACATTATAAAGTGTTACAAAACAACTTCAGATTTTTTAAAGTCGACAATTATGTGATGAAAGTCGAGATGACGTCATTAATGAACAAATAAGCCTGAACCTTGAGCTGAGACTCGAATACCTTGAGCACAGCTATAGCATATGACACAGTGCTGGCCACACGGCTATTGCTCCTATAACAGCTCACTTTTATCAGTTCTTTTGTCTTTATTCGTTATTATTTCTCACAGATTTTCTGCTCGTTCTAAATCAGATACAGATAAAGTAGCACCGTAAAGACTGCATTTATACAGTATGAATGCATTAGTGAGAGAGCGATTGTGTGTGTGAATCCTGTTGCGCCCTCTATAGGACCAGCGACTAGTCAACGTCGAGCTTAAAGGGATACTCCACCCCAAATTAAAAATTTTGTCATTAGTCACTTACCCCCACGTCGTTCCAAACCCCTAAAAGCTTTGTTCGTCTTCGGAACACAATTTAAGATATTTTGGATGAAAACCGGGAGGCTTGTGACTGTCCCATTGACTGCCAAGTAAATTACACTGTCAGGGTCCAGAAAAGTATGAAAGACATCGTCAGAATAGTCCATCTGCCATCAGTGGTTCAACCGTAACGTTATGAAGCGACGAGAATACAGTGTTATTTACTTGGCAGTCAATGGGACAGTCACAAGCCTCCCGGTTTTCATCCAAAATATCTTAAATTATGTTCCGAAGACGAACAAAGCTTTTACGGGTTTGGAACGACATGGGGGTAAGTGATTAATGACAAAATTTTCATTTTGGGGTGGAGTAACCCTTTAAAGCGTCACAGCAGAGCATTGAAGTCGACTAGTCTATGCAACCCCTACTTTACTGTCACTTTTAAACAATTTCATGCATCATTTGAATTTTGTGTTTTGTGGGAAATTTTATATTCTGTGTCACTCAAATGCAAAACAGCTGTACTTATTTCACATTCCCTGCTTCTGTTCTTATAGATGTACAAAAGCAGAAGCTTTTATTTGGTGCTGTTGCTTTTTACGAATAATATCACCAACGAGTGTGATTTAATTAAACCGCCTCCTCCACACACACGCACACACACACACACACACAGTTGAGATTTCAGCTCAGATTTTAATGCATTGAAATGTCAGTCGATATTATTTCCGAGAAGCAGAGAGTATCTCCAGCAGTGAAGGAGCCCTGAATTATGTACAACAGAAGTAAAAATTTCTTTTGTTTGTGTGTGTGTGTGTGTGTGTGTGTGTGTGTGTGTGTAGGACGTCCAGAGCATCGACACGTCCCTGATGGACCCAAGCAGCAGTATCACGGTTCTAACGGGTCCGAGTGCATTCAGGATCCCGGTCAGCATCAGAAGCAAACTGTGCAGCAGCCTGGATGTCCCGCACACACGCGGAAATGACTGGAGAATACTGGCACACAAACTCAACCTGGACAGGTGACGTTTACACACATCAACACTGCACGCACATGCATTCACACACAATCATTTAGCCCTTCATTTAGTTTCCACTGAGTTTGAAAGTGATTAGATGCCATATTGACTAGGGTTTAAAAGTTTGGGGTCTGTAAGATTTTATAAATCTCTTATTCTCACAAAGGCTGCATTTATTTGATCAAAATACAGCAGCAATAATGTAAAAAATATATATATAATATAAAATAATTATTCCTGTTGATCAAAGCTGAATTTTCAGCATCATCACTCCAGTCTTCAGTGTCACATGATCCTTCAGATTTCATTCTAATATGCTGATTTGCTGCTCAAGAAACATCATATAATATAATATTATATTATATAATTCAAGTTTATAATATAATATAATATAATACGTTTTAGGATTTTTTTATATTTCTGTTTAGCTTTAATTTATTTATTTTTTCCCTTCAGTTTTAGTTTTAATAATTTTAGTACTTTATTTTTTATTTTATTTCAGATAGTTGCCAAGGCAACATTTTTAATTTTAATAATACTTTTATTTTATTTCAACTTTATTTCAATGAATGGAAATATTTTTAATAGTATAGATTTTTAATAATGTAATATAATGCTCATTGACCATAAAATGAGTAATTTTTTTTAGCTATCATTATTTTGGTCAACATTTTAGCGCATCTCCAGTATGAGCGTATGTTTATCATCAGTGTGCTGAGACTGCAGTGTAGTTTTTATTTTAAAAGCGATAGAAGAGAAACTAATCTGCTCTAAAAGTATCTCACAGGAGAGTTTGAAGACAATTAACGGTGGAAAAACAGCAGGCGAGCTAAAGAGAAATTTCCCGTTGTTCTTTTCGGCCCGCCTGGAGAATTGAAGAGATATATTCACTCTCTTGAACATCAACTTTTTAAAATAGCAGCATTTCTGTGTGCCTCCACATTTCACGTAATTAGAGGAAAAGCTAAAAAAAGCGAAGGACCGCTATGGTTGAGGTGTTACTGCAGGACGGTTAAAGTTCGAGAGATCTCATTTGAAACGAGAGAGAGTTTAGAATGGAGAGCTCGCTGTTCACCTCTGAGGACCAACAGGCATGAAAGAGGCAGAAGACGAGAGAGTTTGAGTTCACAGGGGACAGGAAGTAGAGAGATAAAGCGAGGAGGATGTTAAAAGTGAATAGACGGGCTCTGAAAGTTCTTCATCAGTCATAGACTGCAGATCTCCAGAGCCGCTGCGCAGCACCTTCTGCAGAGATGTTTTTATTCTGATGGAGACCAGAGAGAGCTTCTCCATTCAACTCAGATTACAGGAGCTTTGATAAATACAGGATCTGTAGGACTGGCTGATGTTATACTCCATATGATGGTGGAAGAGATTTTGCTGTACTGTACATATATTTGCTTTACATACAGTACATGTGAGAATGATGGGAAAACATGAAGTAACGCAAAAATACAAAGCAAAGAACATGTTATAAGTGTTGTAGCACCTTATTCAGTTGTATATAGACAGCTGTGCATATTGGCTATTTTCTTATTTTTAATTGAATAATTTAATCAAATTAATTGCAATTATTTGTAGGTATCAATATTTACTGAGAAAAGACCCCAAATGAAGATTATTACATTACATAACATAAGACAATACATTATTGTGGCTGATGAGTAAATCTTTTAATAGATAAAATGGATGTATTTTCTTTCTGTATTTTAGCCTGTATGGCGTTTATTATTATTAATAGTGTTATTAATAATATTAATTTATATGGACTTCCAAAGCAAAGAAACTAAGACATAAATATTGGTGCTGTAATTTTACTTTTGTTATATAAATTATTATTATTATTATTGTTGTCTTTTATTTACACTGTAGTAGTATTATTGCAATAGTAATATATTGCCTTATGGATTTAATTTTTATTATTTAAATATTATTACAATTTTATTATTTGAAATAAAAAATAATATTTTGAATAGTTATTATTATTATTATTACTATAAAATAAAAATATTTTGAATAATTATTATTGTTGTTGTTACTATTTGTTTTTACTGTGCAATAGTAATATTTTGATTATTTGTTATGATTTAAATACTAAACTTAAAATAATATTATGAATAATAATAGAAGTAACAACTAATAATAAGTGTTATTATTATTATATTATTTTTTAATTACTGTGCAATAGTAATATATATTTTTTATTATTTAATGTTTATGAAACGTAAACATTAAATAAAAAGTAAAAGTTTTTTTTTCTTGTCTTTAGTTGATTACATGCTTGTTAAAATGGATTTTAGGATTTCCATGTCACCGATACGAATATCACGTTTTTATTGCATTGTTTTTAAAGAAATAATCTCACTAATATAATGCATTAAATTACAAAAAAAGAGAAAATTATCAAATCAGGTTTCACTGCATCATGCAAAAAATAAACATAACCACATTAAAATAGAATAAAAAATTTAGAATAAATAACTATATGGTGAAATATCGTGGTCCTACCACCCACCTCTCAGCGTCTGATTCCTCTCACCTGCCCTACAGGTATCTGAAGTACTTTGCGACTAAGACGAGTCCGACCGGAGTGATTCTGGACCTGTGGGAAGCTCAACACTTCCCACACGGAAACCTCAACCAGCTCGCCACTGTCCTGGAGGAGATGGGTCGTCATGACAACAGCATCGCCGCCATGGCCAAGGAACAGTGACCCTCACTTTGGCGGTAATAACGCTGCTAACGATGACGTCCAGCTCAAGTTGTGTTGCTACACGATCAAAACATCGATCAAAAACCAAGACGCCGTGTGCAGCACTGCTGTCCATGTACGTGGATTCCTCCGATTTGGGGTCAAAGGTGAAGCAGGAACAGGGTCGAGACACTTCAGGCACGTACTAGACAACCAAAACACACCCAAACCCTCCCAGTTTGCACGCGCAGGGTCCCGACAGCTGAAATCTCCCACTTTATCATCCTTTAGTCATCATTTTTACTGAATTTTGTGGTGCCATCTAGTGGTTGCAGAAACAACAAACCCTTCATGTGATATAATATTTTGAGACATGAATACAGTATTTAGTGTGAGTACCTTAAAGTGGCCTTTAAAATCCAGTTACCGATCAGATCCGATTTGAATTGTATTATTTTTGTAATGCAGGTATCTGAAGACGTACAGTAAATATGTTTGTTTGTTGAACAAAAGTGCATGTGAGCACTTGCCAGGGATCTGAGAATAATTTTTTTTGATTTTATGAAATGCAATGTTTCATCACACTGTAATAATGATGATCTTTACTGGCCGGACTTTTGCAGCATCTGATGAATTCACTGGCTCTGCATGGGATGTTTCTGTTGTGCGTCATCAGTGTTTCATGTCGACATTTACACATCTCGCTCTACTAGATGCTTTGTTTTAACAAGAGTAAATTTACCCCTCACGAAAACTTACCATAGTGACTATAGTTTCTGCCAAAATGTGATAGATACTGCAGTTATTGTTACTACTGGCATATTGTAATGAATTAATATAATTCTATAAATCTTTCATTTAAATTTTTTTTTAATGCCAGTGAAGGATAATATCAAGTTATTGTAGTAAGGTTAACAACCACAGCTTTAAGGTTTCCCTACGATTTTTCTACCAAAGTAAGCGTTCTATGGTTTAACGTTTGAAAACCAAGAAAGTAAGACAGACAGAAATATTGGTCATTTTGTTTTAGGATGTAAATTTGTATTATTATTATTATTTTACATATTTTTTTTACAATTTACAGTGCAGTTGTATTATTGCAAAAGTAATATATTGCCCTATTGATTTAATTTTTCATGATTTAAATAATAAAATAAAAATGGAATAATTAATTATTGTACTTGTTATTTTTATTATTATTATTATTATTCAAAAACAATCAATTAATTAATATTATTCAAAATGTTATTTCTATTTTATTATTTAAATACGATTTTTATTTAAATAATAAAATAAGATTTTTTGAATATTATTTATATTAATATATAATTTAAAAATAAAATAATATTATTATTATAATTATGACTAGTTTTCACAATTATTTATTTAATTTTACTTTTCATCATTAATAATAATAATAATAATAATGACTAGTGTTTATGTTTTTTTTTACTGTGCAATAGTATTATTGCAGTTATTTTAAAAAGTAATTATTGCACATTATTTTAACCAGAGTAAATTTATCCCTTACAAAAACGTACCATGGTGACTATAATTTCTCCCAAAATGTGATGGATACTACAGTTTCAACTGGAATATTGTAATGAATTCATATAATTCTTTTCAGAATCCTTTAATTTTAAGTTTATGACAGTGAGTTACCATAGGTTTATTGAAGTAATCATAACTGTAGTAACTTTTGGTGGAAGCTGTGGTTATGGTTAATTATTGTAAGGGGTTGAGCACTCATATTGTGTCCTAACCAGTGTCCAGTGACAGGTTATTTTTCTGTCCAGACACAAAGTGAAAATACTGTACAACATGACACAATCACAACCAATCAGAACATATTATATATTTAATATAAAGATCGTTGGCTACCCAGTGTTATAAGACAAAATGACCTGTTAGTTGCAGAGGCTGGTTAGGTCAAAACTCCGATTTGATTGGTTTGATTAGGTTTGAGTCAGAGCTGCAGGTCTGAAGCTCTCCTATCAACACTACCAGTATGGTGGAATCTATTAATCTGGAAAATATTAAAGATGTCACTCCTGTGTGACGCTTCATCCAGACACTAGAAATAAGATCTCTGAACAGTGAACATTAGGAAAAAAATCACATGAAAGATGTCAGACATTTTACTTACAAATATCCAGATACATAATGAAACATTTCTATGGAATATATTTGCTTGTTTTTTGTAGCGAGTTTATCAGAACATATTTACATGCACATTAACTTGTAACATTTAGGAAAGTAATGTCTTGGGGGAAAGAGGGCTTGGTGATGAAGCAATGGTTTTTCAGAGGCGGAGCAAGTTATTATATTCTGATGCAAGATTATGAGAACCTTTTAAAATACTTATACTGATGAATTGTTCACTATATTATGGAAGCCCATTTCCACCACCTAAGAAAAAAATCATGCTTTGGTAAATCATAATTATGACATAAAACTTCTAAATTTTCACATTAAGTCTCAATTTTTAGATAATTAATAATTCAAACTAATGGCATGAAAAGACAAAATTGTGAGAAACATTTGAAATTATAACCTAAAAAGTCAAAATTATGAGATAAATTAAGGCAGTTCTGAAGGCAAAAGGGGGTCCAACCCGGTACTAGCAAGCTGTACCTAATAAAGTGGCCAGTGAGTGTAGATTTGTCATGATTTCGACTTTGTCAAAATTATTACATTAGTATATCATAAATTTTGACTTGTCGATTTTGACTTGTCATAAATTCAACATGTCATTATGACTTATAATTTAGATTTACTGAAATTTTTGTTATACTGACAATTTGTCATAACTTGTCATAATGACTTAGTGTCTCAATTTTTCATGACTTAATATCTCATTTAAAAAATGACAATTTAGATGGCAAAATTTCAACTTTTTCGTTATGACATTGTCAATTTCGTGTTTTTTTTGTCATAATTTACTTTTTAATTTTACAATTTTAAGTTGTTCTCAGACTTTCGTTTAGTTTACACTCGAAGTAGATTGGTCTCTCTAAGCGAGATCCCGATTCGTCGGTCATCCGACGTGACGTCGAGAGTGACCGACTGAAAGGGAACAGACAGTTTACAGTTAATGATGGTCAATGCAACTGGAGACTGCGTACTTTATGCATAAATGTTTTTGCATAAATCCATCACAGTAGATGCGAGTGTTGGTGTGCTTGTAAATGTGAAACACAGGGCTCATTATATGTGATCTGTCTGCAGTTTCACTGCCTGCAGCCGCTGCCACCCCACCAACACGAAAAAGCCTCCAACCAACTGCCATTTCCCATAATCCAAATGAGAGGATCTGTGCGGAAAATAAAAGCCAAATGAACAAGCAAAACAAGACAACAGAAAAGCCCTTCTGTAAGCTTGACGAGCAGCAGTGCATTGAGTGTTTCTGTCTGGTGTTAATGCTGTGCCAACTATGCAATGTTTGCTTCTATACAGGACAATGTGCATCGTTATGACTCACGTGTACAGAGAGAATTTAATACACAGAGTAAAGCTTCATTAAAAATCAAAAACAAAAAATGCTATGTCTGCGGCCAGTTTCTGTATAAAATGTATGTAAAGGATTTTTTAAAATAAATTATATTTTTAATCAACGCTGACAGTGGCCTTCTGTTGTTGTTGTTTTATTATTTGACCTTCCTGGAGATTCCTTGCATCTTTTTTAATAGCTTAACCTTGAATAATCAAAAATGTGACTGTCTTAAACATTTACCATGGTAACCAAAAGAGGGGCTGGGTTACATTTTTTAAGGCAATTTATCTCATAAATTTTTCTAAAAATGTTTTTAGAAGAGGCTTGCTGTTTGTTTCACTGAGCTATCCAGGAAGTAAGATTGAATTAAATGGGTTAATGTTAAAGTATTGTTGGAAAAAAATAAAATAAAACATGTTTTCTTAGGTTGTACATTTGGACTATATTTTATTTTAATTTATTTTTGTCCAGCCAATGAGATAGTGTAGAAAACACTGGTTTATTTCTGGCAAAGAATATAAAATATATACTATAATGTATATATTAATTTATATCTAATTTATAATTTTGAGTAGTGTAATACAAATAGACTAGATATATTTACATATATTCATATATATATATATATATACATATAAAATAGACATATTTTGGATTCTGCTTTCTGTCTTATCAAATAAACAAATTTGTGTTTAATTTGTGGTTATGCTGGGATTTTCATTAAAAAAAATGAAAAAGTATTTTTTTTTATAACTTAAATGACATCTCATAATTTTGAATAGTATCATAATATTTGAATAGACTATATTGTCTGAAAACCAGATCAGAATAAGCATTTGCACAATGCAACTGTTTATGTAACCATGTAATTGATATAATGTAACTATTTAGCTTGTTTTCTGAACAAAGTAAAATAGATCGTTCATTCTGAAATGTGAAGGTTTTTTGAAAAAAAAAAAAAAAAAAAACGTGCTTCACTCAAAAAGGTTTTGCATCACAGTAATTGTCAAATAAATAAAAAAAAGGCACAGAACATTGTGTTATTAGGACATTTATTCAAGTACATTGATGCGCCATTCATTTTCATCTATTTACACAATAAATAAGGCACAGCCCACCAGAGAATGTGGGAAACCGCAGCTATCATGACTTCAACCATCACACTTGTTGCAAGTTGTTGAGTGACTGACAACACAAATCTGATATGATCCAAAACCATTGTCATGTATGAGCTGAACAGATTGTGAAAAGACATACGAGTCGTGGACGGCAGACATGTGATCTCGCTCGCTGAGGTCCTGCTTCGTCCCACTGGTCCTCATACAGCGTAGACGTGCCACCATCAGCTCTGACCACACGAGATCTCGGCAATATCCTGGCGGCCTGCACAAGGCAAACAAAAACAAGGATGCCCAAAAATTACTTGGCGAAGAACTTTTATGGAAGATCTGCGAGCAGTCGACATTCCATGGGACGAGGCTGAAGTCACGGCCACGGATCGAAGCCATTGTCACCCTATGCGCCGAACGGCGCCGGTGGAATTAAGGTTAAGTTAAGGATATATATATATATATATGAAGGTTTTTTTTATGTTCTATGTAACCTTTTTATTCATTCAGAAAACACCTTAACAAGAAAGATTTTACTTGACAGTAATGGTCAACTAAAAAGCAACACAAAAAGTAACTCGGCGCAGAACATTCATTCTCATTAGAACATTTATTCAAGTACATTGACGCTTCACTCTCATTTTCATCTATTTACAAAATAAATAAGGCACAGCCCACCAAAAAAGGCGGGAAACTTGTTGAAAGTTGTTGAGTGACTGACAACACAAATCTGATATGATCCAAAACCATTGTCATGTATGAGCTGAACAGACTGTGAAAAGACATACGAGTCGTGGACGGCAGACATGTGATCTCGCTCGCTGAGGTCCTGCTTCGTCCCACTGGTCCTCATACAGCGTAGACGTGCCACCATCAGCTCTGACCACACGAGATCTCTGGGAGGTTCGTCTCCGTTTGAACCCACGTCAGGCAGTGAGTGTCAGTGCTGTTGGTCTTTCATCAGACTTTAATGTCCTGGGACTCTGACATCTTGGCCAGTGTCTTTTTAACCCGCAGGGCGGTGAGACGAGAGGCCGGATTATGAGCCCAACACTCCGTCATGAGCTTCCCCAACTGCCTCAAACACTGACAACACAACGAAAACCACATCAAACAAATCTCTTCAACAACGAGACGGAAAAAAATGGCATGATTTTATTATTAAAATGGTCAAAAATATGATGAGAAAAAAAACTAGACAAGAAAAAAAATATTATTTGTAAATTGTTTCTCTTCTAAACTCGATTTCTTTGCTTACCATTAACATAATTCTCTAACGTGGGCTAGATTTATTACATTATTAATACAGTATATGCTATTGCAAGCTAACACTTATCTTACTAGTACAAGCTTATAATTCAGCAATATGTTATGTCAGTGAACCATGTAAACTATTTAACTGGGCCACTTAAAAATAGCAATGTTGAAGGCACATGAACAAATTATGACTAAGAATTATTGAACTAAAAAAATGTTGCTGTAACAATTTATTCATGTGAAACTGATGTACATAATTAAATCATGTTAACTCAACACATTTTCTTTTTTCAATGTAGTGTTAGCATAAACACCAGTAAACCGAACCGCTTTGCTAATGTTACATTTGAAAGTTTGATCTGTTATAGTTTGATCTATAAAATAATCCGCAAATAAATATTTTTATGTTATCCTTTTTCATTTTAGCTGAACTAATTTAGTTGTTTTTGTCATTTTTATTTATTTTATTTTTTTAATATGTCTATAGTTTTTATAAATTTTTATTTCAGTTTGTAGGTTTACTTATTTTACATAAATTATAAATATATATTAAATGAAAAAAGGGAAATGTTGCCTTGGCAAGGGTTATTATATTCGACTAAAAATAAACAATAAAAACTGCTTAAAAATACATTTGAAATAAATTAATCATTGACTGAAATAAAATGAATAAAAACCATATTTTATATATATTAAAAAAATTTTTTTTTAAAAACAAACAACAAAAATAGAAAAACCTTCAAATTAAAATGAAAAAAGAAAATATATATTTAAAAAACTAATTCAAATTATTCATAAAAACTATAATAATACCTCAATGATACTAAAATTACACTGAGCTGAAGAAAAAAGTTTACAGTTTTTTTTTTTGTTTGGTTTTTTTTCAGTTAGCATTTTATTTCAAGTAAAATGTTTTTATGGTTTTGGTTTTAGTTAACTATAATAACCCTAGTTTTATCAGCTAAAAAAATTGTTGTAAAAATGTGTAAAATTTCATTAAAAAGGACTCGAATAAATATGATGTGATGAAATATTGACATTTTTATCAATAATTACGACTAAGGCAAAAAGGTTCAAATGTAATGTCTGTGTGTTTTTGAGCTTTAGACCACGAGAGTAGACGTGTGTTCACCTCATCACTGCTCCAGCGGTTGGGGAAAGACGGCCGTATTCTCTTAATACAGACCACCTCTCGCATGTCTTCATATGACGGGTCATTAGGAACGTGATCATGATACGGCAGATGATAGTCCTCTACGATACCTGCGGAAACATCCGGATAGCAATCAATGCACAGACAGAAAAAAACAAACATGAATCAGATCTCTTTCAGATCACAAGTGGACCTATTATACAACACATTAATTATACAAACGTTTAAAAAAAAAGTTTTATACAAACCAGGGTTATTACTGTTAATTAAACTAAAACCAAAACCATCAAAACTTTTTGTAACTAAAACTGAAATAAAAACTAATATAAACAATATAGACATACTTAAAAAAAAATAATAATAATAATAAAATGACAAAAACATAACAAAATTAGAAAAAGTTTAACTAAAATTAAAATGAAAAATGTAAATATAAAAATAAAAACTAATTCAAGCTATTAAGAAAAACTACAATAGTATCTCAGTTATACTAAAATAACATTGATACAAACAAATGAATGGAGAGCAAATGGAGATTTTTTCATTTTGCTTAACACCTGACAAAAACTAAGAAATGATCACTATTATATATTTATAATTTATTATAAAATATATTTATAAATTATAAATTAACTTTATAATGAAGCATAGTCTAGTCAATAGTAAATAAATGTGAAAGTAAACATAATAAATACTATATAAAAATATACATTTAATATAATAAATATTAAATAATAATAAGACATTACTTTTCTTTAAATACAACTATTAAAATATATTATAATATTTATAATTTATAAATTAACTTTATAATGATACATAGTTTAGGTAATATTAAATAAATATTAAAGTTAATATAACAAATATATAAAATATACATAATAAATATTAAATAAATATTTAGTCAGTATTAAGACATTACTTTTATTTAAATACAACTATTAAAATATATTATAATTTATAATATTTATAATTTATAAATTAACTTTATAATGATACATAGTTTAAGTAATATTAAATAAATATTAAAGTTAATATAACAAATATATAAAATATACATATAATAAATATTAAATAAATATTTAGTCAGTATTAAGACATTACTTTTATTTAAATACAACTATTAAAATATATTATAATTTATAATATTTATAATTTATAAATTAACTTTATAATGATGCATAGTTTAGTTAATATTAAATAAATATTAAAGTTAATATAACAAATATATAAAAATATGCATTTTAGTCAATATTAAGACATTACTTTTCTTTAAATACAACTATTAAAATATATTATAATATTTATAATTTATAAATTAACTTTATAATGATACATAGTTTAGTTCAAATAAAATATACATGTAATATAATAAATATTAAATAAATATTTAGTCAATATTAAATAAAGACATTACTTTTCTTCAAATATAAATATTAAAAACATAGTAAATATATATAAAAAATGGAGTCATCAGTGATCCACCACATATTAACAGGTTAAAGGAAATCTGAATGTAAATGTCTATAAATATTAGACTGCAAATATAAACGTTTTTAACATTTTTCCAAGACTAAATGATCTGAGTGAAACATCCATTAAGGAATGTTCTGAGAAAGAACTGAGACCAAGCTGATGTTGTGTTGTATTAAAGGCAGAGCTGTACCTCCAGACACACACCGGCGGCCGATCTCCCACAGAATGAGACCGAAGCTGTACATGTCGGCCATGATGTAGGACTGAAAATGGTTCCTGTTCAGAGTCTCGTCCAGAACTTCAGGAGCCATGAAGCGTTTGGTGCCCACGCGTGTGTTCAGCGGGATGTCCACTTCATTAGTGTCGCTGTTTGATGAGACACAACAGTGTTTCAATCCTCATTTCATCAGCATATATTCTTCACATCATTTTCAAAAACGTGATGATGCTACTTTGAAAGTGCACTTTACCAAGCTTGAGTCAAAATACCCTTTTTGAAAAAGTAGTTAGCTACACTACAATTTACTAATAAACTACACTGAAGATATGTAAGGGGCAATGTAAGGGGGCAGTCGTGGCCTAATGGTTAGAGAGCCGAGGGTTCGAGTCTCAGTACTGGCAGGGATTGTAGTGAATGTACAGCACTCTCCCTCAATACCACAACTGTAGAATTTATTATTCATATTTTGAATTCGCTTTTATTTTTATCATTTCAGTTTTCATTTAAAGTTTTAGCCATTTTTTGTCATTTTTATTTATATATTTTTTAATATTTCTATTTAACTTCAATTTATTTTCATTTCAGTTTTAGTAATCTTACTACTTCAACTTAAACCTCTTTTATTTCAGTTAATTGCCAAGGAAAGGTTTTTTTATTTTTAAGTTTTAATGTAAGCTGAAATAAATTATAAATATTACTACAGATGAAAAGCTTCATTACAAATAATGAAAACGATTTTTTTTTAATAGTTTTAGTTAACAATAACAACACTGATAATATATATATATACTAGTGGTATGTGTATGTATATATAGATTATAAAACAGTATTATAGAAAAATATTTAATTATCAAAGCAGTATGTATTTGATCATTAATAAAGATTTTTTAGGTCTGATAAAAGAATAAATCTAAATTAATCTGTGTTATTTTTGTATTATTTGTATATACGATTGTAGTATATTAATTTGAATTAGCTTTTATTTTTAGATTTTCAGTTTTCATGTAACATTTTTGCGGTTTTGTTTTTGCCATTTTGTCACGTCATTTTTTTTATTTTTTTTTTTATAGTTCTGTTCAACTTTAATTCATTTCTATTTCAGTTTTAGTCATTTTAGTACATCAACTTACTTTTATTTCAGTTAACTGCCAGGGCAACTTTTTTTTTTTTTTTTAGTTTAAGCTGCAATAAAATAAAATGTAAATTTTAATATAGATAACAAACTCAATGTAAAATAATGAAAACAATTTTAATAGTTTTAGTTAACAATAACAACACTGATATACTGTATATGTAATGTTGTAATTATAGAACAGTATTTAACTGAATTTAACAGTATTTACAGTTTTTCTCGATTGCTTAAACACTATCACCAGGCTTTTGAACTAAAATTTCAAAACCATAACGCCATTTATCAAAAAGCACACCCATTTCCCCAACTATAAACACTATTCCCCTTTTTGACACATGAGTCAGATTTGTTGAACTGTCACTGCAAAACTCTACACACAAATCCCTTCATTTCTCATTGCCTAGACCATGTTGTCATTTAGAAAGCACTAGCATTCAATATTGTTCACTCAAGTCAGCATAGCTTGAGTTACCCACGTGGAAACACTAAGAGTCAAAATTTGTCACACACCAATCAGAAACTTCAATAGATGGATAAAAGAGCCCAAGTCAGTTCATTCCGTTTTGGAACAATGGATCCAGAGAGATGTGATTGAAAAGGTCGAGGACACCAGAGAGGAGGAGGAGGCGGAAGAAGAGGATGAGGATGAGCAAGAGCAGTAAGGAGTAGAGGAAGAGGTGAAGGAAAAGGAAGAGGACGAGGATGAGGATGAGGATGAGGGGCAAGGAGACTAGGAGTCTCAGATGAGATTTGTGCCACTAGTTGACCATGTCCTTGTCCATGGATCCAGAGAGAGTTGATTGAAAAGGTCGAGGACACCAGAGAGGAGGAGGAGGAGGAGGAGGAGGAGGAAGAGGATGAGCAAGAGCAGTAAGGAGTGGAGGAAGAGGTGAAGGACGAGGATGAGGATGAGGGGCAAGGAGACAAGGAGTCTCGGGGAAAAGTTTGGTTTTTCAGCAAGAGTGAATGGTTTTGAGTGTAGAGCTTCATTTTGACCTGAAAATAGGATGTTTGGGGAATTGGGTGAGACGTTATGGATTTGTGTTTACTGTTTTGAGAATATGAGGCATAGTTTCAAGAAATGTGTTTAAGCAATCGAGAAAAACTGTAATAATCAGAAGTATGTGTCTGATAATTAATAACAAACAAACTATGAGGACCTTAATCACAGAGACAGAATTCAACTCAATATGCACATATATTTACACTAAATAGTAACCAATAAAACTAAACTAAATATTTTAAACAATTATTTATACAGCCAAATTTAAAATAGTGACAATCAGCTAAGATTGTGTACTAAATATTAGCATTAATTTTACAATTTTACTTACACTTGCTACAGAAAGAAAGAAAGAAAGAAAGAAAGTTGTAAAATGCCAGACAGGGACTTCTGAGTGATCACTTAATTGAATATTTGAAATGACTTTTTTTTTAACTGGTTGGTAATACTGCTGCCTACAATAATTAGCCAGTTAAACTCAAAGACAAGTAAAGCAAAGCAGCTGAAGTCTGACCTGATGAACTTGACGGCCAGGCCGAGGTCAGCGATGCAGCAGGCGCCGTTCCTCTTCACCAGGATGTTCTTGCTCTTCAGGTCTCTGTGAGAGATGGCCGGTTTGCCCTGCGTGCCAAAGATTTCCGTGTGAAGGTGGCAGAGGCCGGAGACGGACGAGTACGCCAGTCTCAGCATGGCCCGGCTGTCCAGTGTGGTGCATTTGAGATAGTCGTACAGAGAGCCGTTCTCGTGGTAGTCGGTGATGAGGTAGAGCTGAGTCCATGAGCCTGTGCCTTTAATATCGGCCGCTATGAACCCTGGAGAGAGAGTTCAAATTAGTGCACGAGGCTAAATATACTCGGAGCAAGGCTGTGCTTAATTTAACGTAATAATTAATCTGATATCAGGTAATTAATCTGAAATGACTACTAATCAAGACGGTTCAATCGTGCATTTTAACATGGTTCATTTTCCTGTAATTACCGACTACGTTCACCAGTGGGAGTAATTCAATAACAGTAGATGGGCTGCTAATGTAACTACATTTTTCAGTTGCGTGACAGCAGCTCTGCTGTTTTGAAAATAGCATTGCTATTTTTTCTAACAATCAGTGGAACAGCATGAAAAGATGCAATACTTCTGCTTGCTGCATCACTTTGTATTGTGTGCGGAGCTTTACAGCCGAGTGATCGAACACACTCTCACTGAATGTCCTCAAGCAGCGATTAATGAAAGTGAAATGATTTATTTTGGATGGTTCGTTTTAATGAACTAAACTCACTTTAATTTGAGTGATCACTCAAACGCTTTCCCAGAAGTCCCCATGTCTAAAATATTTAGTTAATTGAGTAGTTGACAAATAACATGGACATGTTGAGGTTTTAGTTTAACATTGACAAAGGGAAGGTTTTGCACAATTTTTTTTCTTCTTGTAGTTCTAATAAATAGTCTTGCAGAGTAACAAATCATATAGTCTCAGTTAATATGAGCATATAAAACTGTATAATAATCAATAATAAGAAAAATGTTGTTTAAAATTATATATAATTTATTCTGTGTGTGCATATATATATATATATATATATATATATATATATATACAGTGGTGTGAAAAGGTGTTGGCCCCCTTCCTGATTTCTTATTTTTTTGCATGTTTGTCACACTTTAATGTTTCAGAT